GGCCAGGACCTGGAGCAATAGCCAGACTAGGGGGAAGAGGTACAGGAACCCCCACCTTAATCAGTCCAGCCTAAGTGTCTACTGCAAGGGCCTCACAATTGAGAAACGGCGCAGCATACAATGGAAGAAGCCGAGACCACTCCAACACGAAGATGTCCACATCCTGGTGCCCGAACGTCTCACAAAGCCACAGGAAGGTGGCGGCACTGACATCTGCTCCATAGAAATGGGAAGGAAACTGACCTACAGTAAGTGCACACAAGTCTGGATGCTTTAAAAAAAAAAAAAAAAAAAAAAAAAGCAGCAAACTTATACAATTTATAGTGCAATACTATAAATTTATAAAATAATGCATTATTTCAGGTATTTAACATTAAGAACATAAAGAGAACAAAAAATATTATCTGCTAGAAATTAGTTTAGGTGAAGATTCAACAATCTGGATTTCATGGACCTCCCCTCTGAAATTAAAAAAAATAAAATTCTGACATCTGAATTGTATAAAGGTGATACAGTAGCAGATTGGGTCAGATATTTAGAAATATCTGCCAGATGGAGGTTTGGACTTTGAAGGTTTCACTAAATGGTAAATTGAGTGTGTATACTATACTTGCTTGTAAATGGGACTGGGTCAGATTTGTTCACCAACGAGGTGTTAGGTACAAGTTGCCCCTTTTCTCACATGCTTCAAAAGTCATAACTAAATATATCCTACCTAATGTCATGTTGAACTGAAAACACGACATCTGTTGGCTGGTTTCTTGTTTCATAAACCCTGACATTGTGAAGCAAACTGTTGTGAGGCAACAGAATGTTTGTTTATTTCATGTATAAAAATGCACCAATCTATGCCAGCTCGTTTCTCCTAAAAGTCTAAATGCAAAGAGAGATATATCATTAGTGAACTAAAAACACAACTGAAACTATACAGTGGTCAAGAGATAAGGGAGAAAATGATAGCATGGGTTTTGCCTCATTGCCACAGTTGACCCAAGGTGTTGCCTTATTTGCCTGCATATAAGATGCGCTTTTAAGACATGTATAACACGTGAGACTGAGCAACATAGGCTAGGGAGCCAGATGAGCATACTGGGGAAGTTCGCTAGTCACAAAATTCGTTGCTAATAGTGAAATATTGAAAACAAGCCAAATTATTACAGTAAATTGTGTTACTAATAAAATATTAAAAACATGCAGAGTTATCACAAACTTAAAAAAAATTGTTTATGATACAGCTGCAGTTATGAAGGAAGGTCACATCATCTCACCACCTTAACCAGCATACAAAACTTGCACCTGATATGTCATACATTATTTAACGACTGTGTTACCTTTAACCCTTAAACTGCGCATGGCGTAAATATACAAGTGCTGTATATATATACGCCATGAGTAACATGTCCCACAGTGCGCATGGCATATATATACGCCATAGGGTGCCAGGCACGATTCAAATGGCCCGTGGCTACATGGGGTTCACGACAGCTTTTTCAAGGTTCTTGTAAACAGACTCCATGTTTAAAAAAATCGTGGGCAATATTATCTGGTGTGAGAGCCACAGTACTGTTGGAGCAACCAAGGCTGGCACACGCAGCACGAGCTAACAGCACTGCTGTTCAGCTTGTGACCACAGAAATCGCCTAAAAATGTCATAATAAATATGTAACTGCTATTATTTAGCAAGACAATATTACAGACGACTCCTGACTTTGATAAAAATGACCAGGATTGTGATAATAGCAGGCTTGTTGTGATAATTAGCGCTGTGGGAGGAGTAATGCTGAGGGACAGATTGTGTGGCCACCTGTTATTGTCTGCATTCACCATACCAGCTCAGTGGTTCTCTATGGTGAACACAAATGTAGATACTGTACTTGTATATAATGTGTGTATTAGTGTAATAACAGCAAAAGGATTATGTTGGGAGGAGCCATTTGGATGACAGAGGTGACGTCGTCTGCATGACAGTCTGGCTGTGTAGAGGGTGGCCACTATGCTCTTTGGGCACACTACAAATTTGTGTGTACAGTTACGGTGCATACAACATGTAGATACTTATATAATGTCTGTATATAGTGTAAACACCCCAAACAGTATTGTTGGGGGAGAAATTTTGTGCCTGACCTTGAATGAGTGAGGGAGGCAGCCACCAGCTGACTGAGTGTAGCGATGTCTCTTAGTTCCTGAACTAACTATATTAGCTTAGGTGCACAGTTGTGGTGAACAAAACATGTAGATACTTATAAATAATGTGTGTATATAGTGTAATAACTGCAAAACTATTTGTTTATTGTTTTATGAACGTAATAATTGAACCACTAACATGAACACCATACTTTTGAGTATAACGATGATTCACACATTTTATTATATAAATCTATCACACTACACACTATTGAATAATATTACTGCAAAAAAAAAAATAAGAAAAAGTCAGAGACATTGAAATAATTAGGTAATAATATCGTTGTGGCAGCTCCCACCTGTCAGCTCGGGGTGACGCTGACTGCCTCTGATGACCGCTCTGCCAATGCCCACATTTTGCCAGGCTTCCTCGGCCTATTACACCCAAAATATGTCACCTATGATTTTTTTTTTCCCGTGCTCAGGGAACACAAATTAACATTTTTAGAAGATGAAAAAAATTTAGATTTTTTTTCTTGAGCACAAGGGTGTAAATCTCCTCAGGACCCCTTAGCAGTTTAAGGATTAAAAAACATTCATTATCTAAATGAAAAATACTCAAAAAAAAATTTGAGAGGAATGTTAAACTTTCATCTGCCTGTCAGCCAATTGCAATGAGTGAATGATGATAAAACCTGAGCGCAGTGATGGAGCACCACCCTGGTGGCCTGATGCAGCAACACAAACCACCACATCCAGAAATACAATTTTCACATCCTATATAGCAATTCTCTTGCCCAAAATATAAACAACTATACAGCTGATCATAGAGGAGGTAAGCATTGGGGTACAAAAACCACTTTAAAATATCTTGCATTAAATATATGATGAAACATACAAATAATTTTTTTCTGCAAAATATCTTTGTAAAATAGGGGTGCGTCTTTTACGCCGGCAAATACGGTACTTTAAAATAAAATACATCAATAAAAGCCATTTTATCAAAGAAATGGAAGTTTATTACCGGTAATTATGATACATGGTAAACATTTGAAATCTAAGCAGTGTAAGAAATGATAATGGTGTGCTATTTTACCAAAGCAAAAGGAAGAAAGTTTATTTCATGGGATCGGGAAGGTAAAGTGTGCCAGAAATGCAACCCCTCATTCATTATTGAACTTACTTTCATGAACTATTGACTGAACATCCAAAAATGGACTGTTACAATCCTCCCAATACATTTTGAAGTATTATGAGAAAAATGGCAACAAGAAAACCTGAACTCTCCGAGGCAACCAGCAAACCTGAGGCCAGATTCACGAAGCAGTTACGCAAGCACTTACGAACCTGTACATCTTTTCTCAATTGCTGGCGGCTTTGTTTACAATTACAGGCATACCTCAGTTTAAGAGTTTAATTGGTTCCTGGAGACGCCTCGTATTCCGAAAACTCGCATTCCGAAGCTAATTTCCCCATAAGAAATAAAGGGAAATGAATTAATCCGTTCCTGACTACCCCAAAACCCCCACATCAAACTAAATTTTTATACCTAATTCATCTAAATAAACCTACAAAACTATGTTCAAGTTATTACTTATCTTGCTGTTGAATGCTGTAGGCGTATGGAAGATGGTGATCGAGGAGGTGGGAGGAAGAGAGGAGTTACTGTTTGGAAGGGGAGTCCCCTTCCATTATCACATCAGGCAGTGAGGACTTCACTGGTATGCACACTCTGGCACATTTTGCCTGCATACCACTAGGACTTGCTTGTTTTACTAAGAATTTGTCTAATGACACTTGTTTTTCCCTACATTTTAACACTTGTCTGTAGTAAGACATCACATTATCATTTAAAAGGTCAATGCAACGGCCTGCTACAGCTTTATCTGGGTGAGTTTTTTCAACAAAACTTTGCAGTTCTTCCCATACTTCACACATTTTCTTAATCAAGAAGGGACATCCTCTACTGCCTCTACTCACAGCTATTTTCTTAGGTTGAACCTTACCAATGGCTTTCTTGAGACCCATGGTAAGATATATAATGACAACTTTTATGCTCAAATGGCCAAAAAAACGATAAAAAACTGTAAATCCTTGTGAAGAATTCAGGTGGGATAGTCACTGGACATGAGACACTGGTAAACTGAGGCGCGATCGCCATGCCACCACGCGCCAGTCGGCCTGTACACGTATCAACAAACTCGCGTTCCGAGGTAACCCTCGCCTTCCGAGACATATTTTCCGAGGAAATCCTGATCGTCTTCCGAAAAACTCGCATACAGGGACACTCGCATTCCGAGGTACCACTGTATTAAACAGTTAATGAGCTCCGAAGCACCAGGAGGCTTGTTTATAACAATAACAGTTGACTGGGAAGTTTTCATGCTTGTAAACTGTTTAATAAATATAACCAAAGCCGTCAAAGATTGAGGAAAGATGTACGTGTTCGTAAGTACTTGTGTAACTTCTTCGTGAATCTGGTCCCTGACCTCTCCTAGGCCTAATATAGTGCATGTGTACTAATTTAGGCCCAAGATAGCATATATATATGGGCTAGTCATGAGTCACAATAACATGGTTGAAAATTAGATAACTTGCTAATGGTCCAGGATGAACTGAAACATCATTTCTTTCATTTTCAGATTTGTGGGTTGGGTGACAGGTGTCTAGGATTGCTTATTTATGCCTGGAACAGGTTAAGTCAAGTTGATTTGGAACACAGATTTGCAATAATACACAACTAAACTTTTTGTGTACGACAGTATTTTAGTATGTTTGACACATGGTTGCTACAAGTTCACACTATAATTTTTGGAGGATGGGTTGCAGAAAAAAGGATGGAAGTGACTGTGTCTGACTGACTGACTGGCAGGCTTGTTCAAACAACTCCCTAGTTGCAACAGAGTAGCACTGTAAAAGCAGAGGGAATACATGCAAAAACCTGTATTGCAGCAAGTGCCTGTGCAAATTCACATTGGGATCTACCGAGGTATAAATTATGATTGAAGCTGTGAAAGAAAACATGTACGACTGGTCACCAATACTAAGAAATCTGTTCTTCCCTTACACTACACCTCTCATTCATCTGCATTTCCCACAGTTATTGCCAGTCTTCTGCCTCAAACAATTTACCACAACATATGCATTTCCTTAATTATGATTAGAACAATTTATTTGCAGTTATTAAAAATCAGATATCTTTCTTATATTTCTTAGGCCTATGACTTACTGGCATACTCAAAGCCATATAAAAAAGTATGAAGTTATACAAAAGCACAAGTACAAAATGTTGATATTGGTACTGTACTCAACACCAAACTTCCCTTGTATTACATTTCATAAAATACCTTAATATGTAAATTATTCAAGATAAAAAAATACTCATATAATTGACCATATGATTTGTTTAATTCTAAAACATATTGCTGCTCAATTGTCATAAAAATGCCTAACCAATAACCGTGTTCTTAGTAGAACACTCGTGGTAATTCAATTACCACGAGATGTATTTCTCAATACATCTATTTCTTCAAGATCTATTTCTTCAACTCTCATATTAGTTTTTGTATCAAGAGCTATTTTCCCGTGCCTCAATGTTTTCAAATGTTTACATTTACTTTTTTATCTTTGAACATAATTGATTTTGAAATAGTGAACATCAATACATACATCAGTATCAAGAGCTTCACCTGTGAAAACTTTCTCTACACCAGCTCCCGAGTACCTTGCACTCCACACATAAAAGTTTCATATGCATATAAAAGAATACAGAAACATTGACTACATACATATACTGATAAATATAGTTTTTGTGAGGTCTGTACTGTACTAACTTGCTTGTTACATGTTAATATAAACAAAATATATACAATAACTATCGTAAACTATATCACAAAATCAAGTACAGTACAGTAAATTAAAAATAATTAAAATGATCCCCTAAAAAATATTTAAGCTTTATTTTCAGATATTAATAAATAAAATAATTATTATTCTCACCGCTTACTTTTGAGTCAAATTATATGTTATAAAAAATAAATTGCATATTAATATTTCCATCAAGCCAAAAATGTGCTTTTGTCTTTGGTGTAAGTCAACACGTTTTCCACACCTGCCTTCCACTCTTGGCACCGCACATCTCCATTCTGGATACCGTACCGGCAATTGAACTTGCCTTGAAAACCGTGCGAGTGCCTGGGTATACATAACCACATCATTAGGCACACTTACACGTGGCATCAACAAGTTATGCTACTTAAAGTGATGTATAACACACGAAAAGTCAATTCAGTTACGTACATTAATTTTGTGTCATTACCGTCACCTGGAGTATAAAAATAAACTCTCCTACGAGTACCTACGCTGAAAAAGAGGAAGAGGTAGCTGCCAATAATTGCACCAATTTACCTGTAATCTAAAATAAGAAGTAAGAACAATACACACGAGTCTGTATACAATTTATAATTCTGCCTATTCCTGTATTGACTTTTCTTCAAAATGTTTTAAGAAATTGGAAAATTTAGTCTGCATTTCAACAACAGCTCAGGTGTAAATTTAACTAAATATGTAAAGAAAGACAGAGAAAGCTTTATGTATAGCTTTAAAAAGATGGTGTTTCTGCCAAACATTTAGCAGTCAAGTCAACTTTTGTATAAGGCAATTATACATTTTGATCAAGATTAACAGTACACGTTAATTCCTTAAAAACTCTTGATTAAAAACATACACTTTAACATACAAAAGGAACTTATTTCTTAAAGCTTTGTATTGTCAAATGACTAGAGAAGAATGTCTTATGCAGTCTACACTTACCTTGCTTGTATGGCCCACTAATGGCCTCTAATCACCTATCTTTATCTTAGTCCTCACCTCAAGTGACCATTTAATGTGGTCTTGTGCCCAACAGACCAACGATATACAAAATTTAATTCACACTTTAGTGTATCTTTTACAAAACATTTCACATCTTAATATTGAATATACATGCATACTGATATTTATAAACACCTTTTCGTCTGGTGTGACTTTTAACATCTATGAGGCACCAATTCTTTCAGTCTGTTGAGTGAAGCAGAGATTCACTTTGTCAGTGAGATTTTCATAAGTGGAGGCAGGACCACCCATTACTGGAGATTTGAGAGCCTTCAAGAAGAAACTGCTGCACTCCAGCATTATCTACTGTGTGCAGTGGAAAATCATGCTGTGGGACAACAAAAACCATTATTAACCATTTACCACAAGGATGCATACTGCATTGATATTCATAAACCATACTCATAATGTCAACTCTTAGTTATACAATCAGCATTGAATGTAAAGAAACACCATTTTCTGGGTTAGACCTGAAGGCTCCCAGGAGCTATCCAGGCTGATATGCTAATATTAGACTTTGGCATCAGTGTGAATGGAGTTCTTAGGCCTACCAGAGACCACAAGCCAGAACCAGGCCCCCTCAGATAGGAACAAGGAGCAATGGCCTATAGAAACCCCCATGTGGTTGGAAGCATTCTATGTCTGCCATCGACTGGGTCAGGCATCCTGAAAGGTAAGCATCCCAAAACAAACCCCTATTCTGGTTAATAAATTGCTACTGAGAGCCGAACTAGTTGGCAGAACTCCCCAAACAAAAACGAGCATGACGTCACCACGTCACCAACAGCCATTTGCGCACCTCGCCCTCTCCCCAGGAGGGGGAAGGGGGGAGCCCCAGACCCCTTGTGCCAGCTACACGAGACCCCCAGTTCTGAGGCTGGATATCAAAAACACACAAAAAAACACCGCCCAGGAGGGAGGGTGGCTGGGGAGCCTCCGGGTCTCACCCAGAAAGTGGCATTTCATTACATTCAATGCTGGTTTTCTGGGGAGAACCGCGTCAGCTTCCCGGAGCTACAGTACTTACCAAGAGATGAGAACAGGAGGGACTTACCCGGGAGGCGGTCATTGTTCGCTCCTCAACGCGAAGCTGAGACAACTGGCTGCAACCGCTGACCCAAAACGAAACAGGCCCGATGAGGCCCAGAAACATTCACGAGGTAATGAGCAGCCAGGATCCCGTTCAACCGAATAATCCCAGCGCCCGAATGTCAGCCCAAGACATATTTGGCAAAAATGGCAGCCAAAACAGCAAACTTACGAACATTGTGGGCACGGGAATAGACCGCAGGCTGGCTAGACTTAATATTAATAACCCAGCGGACCACCTGAGAGACCCAAGCCCAGGAATAGGGAAGAAGGGAAACTGAGTCAACTCAAAGCGCATCCCCGGCCACCAAAGCCATGGCGGGCAAATAACGGCGGAGAGCCGCAACCAGACACAACACACGATGCAAACCCGGCCTGACCAACCAATCAACGACCCAAGGCCCCCTCCGGAACGCAGCCGTCTCATTCTTCGTCAGAAAAGAAGGAGACGGTTGCAACCGAACAAAACAACCACCAGGACCAAAAGAGCAGAAACCCCTGCACCGGAGGAGAGCGTGAAGCTCCCCGACCTGACCCCCAGAAGCCAATGCCAACAGGAAAAGTGCCTTGGAAAAACAATTCTGAACGGAAGGGGCCACAACAAACCGAGGAGAAGAGAAACGAGAGCACCCAGTCCAAAGACCAGGACGGCTCAAGAGGCGCATGAGCCGGTCGGAGGTGAAACAACGCACGAGACAACTTGCGGAATGGGGCAGAAGTGCTATGGCGAGCGCTATGTCATGGATTCGTATCCTGGCCGGGGAGGATTTACTGGGCGCAATTCCTTAACTGTAGCCTCTGTTTAACGCAACAGTAAAATGTGTACTTGGATGAAAAAACGATTTTTCGCGGCAGGGGATCGTATTCCAGGGACCTTCCCGAAACGCTACGCGTACTAGTGGCTGTACAAGAATGTAACTACTCTTGTATACAGTATATCTAAAAAAAAAAAAAAAAAAAAAAAGTAACATCAACACCGAAAGCAAGCTGAAGCGGCTCCGCCAGCACTGCACAATACAAGACAACAGTATTTGACATAAGATTTTCCCAGAATCGCATCAGCCAAGGACTGAAGGTTGGGTTGCTGGTGCGAGGGTCTGGGGTTCCCCCTTCACCTCTCGGGGAGGGGGGGTTGCGCAGACAGCGGCGCAGCAACATGACTATGTCATGCTCGTTTGCTTATTTTTGTTTGGGGAGTTCTGTCCACTCGTTCGGCTTTCGGTAGCAACAGTTTCACCAGAATAGGGATTTGTTGTTCAAGCGCCTACCTTTCTGGGTGCCTGTCTCAGTCGATGGCAGACATAGAATGCTCCCAACCACATGGGGGGTTTCTATAGGCCATTGCTCCTCATGCCTCTCTAAGGGGACCAGGTTCTGGCTCGTGGTCTCTGGTAGGCAAGAACTCCAAGCACATTGACTGATGTCAGAAAAGTTATACATATCCATTCAGCCTGGATAGCTCCGGGAAGCTGGCGGAGCTCCCCCCAGCAAACACGGGCGCCGGAGGAGAGTCAGAAACTCCGCAACCCGACCCCCAGAGGTCAACGCCAACAGGAAAAGGAGACCCCCCCCCAAAAAAAAAAACACCAGAACCAAAGGGGTCACGACAAACCGAGGAGAAGAAAGAAGATAGACCACTCAGGCCAACGACTAGGATGGCAATGGAAGCTCACGAGCAGGCCAGAGGTGAAACAATGCACTAGACAGCTAGTAGAACGGAGCAAAAGGAACAGCAACATCGAACGCAAGCTGGAGCAGCCCCGCCAGTGCTATCCAATATGAGGCGACAGTATTCCGCACCAAACGACAGTCCTGGAACAACCCTGAATGGAAGGACCAGACAACCCTATCAGAGACCGAAGTACACCTATGCAGTAATAGGAAAACCGGAAGGACTGCCAGGAAACTACACATTGTCACCGAGACAAAGCACACAGGTGGGAGACCAACAACGAAGCCGCCAGTGCCAACACAAGTGACGAGAAATTCAAGACATTAACCCAGAGACGCGAAGACTCTAGGGAAAGAACGAACCAGCCTCGAACTGGGCTGGACCGATCCACAAAAAGAGGCGGAGACGCGGGAAGACCCTCAGGATCGGACACCGTGCAAAGCAGTGCCCCCATCCAAGGCTGGCAAAGAACCAGAAGGAAGGGAACCAGGAACTCAAACCCAGTGAGCCAGGAAGGAACCAACCCGGGCGAGCAGACACATCCCATCCAGGAGGAACAATGGGATCTCCTTAGGACCAACAAGGCCGAAAACAGATGGCAATGAGAAGAATCCGCTTACCGAAACAGCCAAACCGCAGACACCGCAACAGCAAGGACCAAATGATGACGAAAACTGAAGAGCCAGGGCCCATGTAGAGGCCAACGACGAAAACGAGCACCATTGACCCCGCAACCCGCAGGAGCAGCGCAACCAGCTCCAGCAGGGAAGAAAAAAAGCACGCGTCTCCGAGTTACATACGAGAACTACTCAGGACGTGTACCACACGAAAACAAAAATGTACGGTCTGGAAAAGAAACACAAAGCCATAGCCAAGACCGTAATCCTGGCCCCTCGCGTCCCAACAAAAAGGAACCGTAGGGGCAGGAGCGCTTGATCAAAAATCTACAACCACCCATAGACATTACAAAACAGAAACTGGCAGGGACACACAAGGAAAATAGAAAGATCTCAGTTCCTCAACTGAACACTGGGGCAGTCCAAAAACAGGGACCTTAACATGTACAGAGGACAACTATCACCAACACCAGTACAGGCAATAAGCACCTACCAAGATACACAACAATGTGTAGGACAGAGATAGGAAAAATGGAAATAGGTAATGATAAGACCCTACATACGGTCAAAGCACCAGTAGCTAGGAACAAGAGTGTACAAAATGACGAACGAAGAAGATCGAAGTAGCAGCCGGTAACGTAATGTACACGACCAACCATATATATACAGTGCTTCCTCAGACTAACGAACCCCGCTCTATCGAATTCCCGGAAGAGCCGAACAAATTGAATTCGGTACCAAATGTTCAGTGGAACATACAAATGTTCGATTAAGTGAGGAATGTTCGTCCAAGCGGTCACCGAGGCCGAGCGTCAGAGCTGGCTGTCATCAACTATGATTCGCCAGAGTGTAAACAGTTATGTAGTGTTTTATTATCCCTACCCATTGTTTCTAGGGAGAAATGGTGATAAAAATGGTGATAAAATGGTGTCAGGGGGGCATTGGTGAGAGAGTTGTTGTCAGGAGGCAACACGTGCTCCCCCGCCCCCACCCTCCTTCCTCCACCTGACCACAGAGACCACTCACTCTCCTCTCGTCGTCAGATGCCAAGAGTCAATTTAATGATAATTATCGCATTATCTACACTGAAAATAGCCTTTTTATTAGAAAAATGTCATATTGGAGCAATAATAATGGTGAAAATTGTAATATATACAGTACATATTTTAAACAGTTTGAACACATTTCCTTTTCACAGAATTTTTAATACAATTGGGGTGTAGATAACAGCCGGCATTGTGTGGCCGGCCGGTCGCTCCCTGAGCCATTGGGGGGGGGGGGGGTGGGAGGGGGCGGGGGTTGTTTCCTGGATCCATCCCTCCCTCCCTCTAACAGCCTATGTACTGTACTAATACCTATAAATTTTGAGGAGGCCAATAAAACAAGCACAGGTCGTGTGAACGTTAGGCCTTGGTGAGGTGGCTGGCATCATTTGTGGTGGTGTCAGGGGAGGCAGGCGGTGTCAGGGGAGGCAGGTGGTGTCAGGGGAGGCAGGCGGTGTCAGGGGAGGCAGGTGGTGTCAGAGGAGGCAGGCGGTGTCATGGGAGGCAGGTGGGGTCAGGGGAGGCAGGCGGTGTCAGGGGAGGCAGGTGGTGTCAGGGGAGGCAGGTGGTGTCAGGGGAGGCAGGCGGTGTTAGGGGAAGCAGGTGGTGTCAGAGGAGGCAGGCGGTGTCATGGGAGGCAGGTGGGGTCAGGGGTGGCAGGTGGGGTCAGGGGAGGCAGGTGGTGTTAGGGGAGGCAGGTGGGGTCAGGGGAGGCAGGTGGTGTTAGGGGAGGCACATGGGGTCAGGGGAGGCAGGTGGTGTCAGGGGAGGCAGGTGGGGTCAGGGGAGGCAGGTGGGGTCAGGGGAGGCAGGCGGTGTCATGGGAGGCAGGTGGGGTCAGGGGAGGCAGGTGGTGTCAGGGGAGGCAGGTGGGGTCAGGGGAGGCAGGCAGTGTCAGGGGAGGCAG